ATATTAATTTCATTATTTAAAACCTTTTCATGAAAAAACCCTAAAAAATCATTTTTAACTTATTTTTCTTTGTTAATTAATTTAGGTTTTAGTTTTAGCTAATTTTAATTAATCATTTTCTTAATTAGGATTAGGTTAAAGTCTTTTCATAAAAATCCAAACAAAAATCATTTCTTTTACCATTTTGCATTCTTGCATTTTTATCTTCAATTTTGTACATTTATTCAATATGGTTGTAATAGTTAATTAAGTTTAACTTCCTTGCAAAAATTCCCATTTGTAAATTTGTATACCCCCTCCCCTAGTGATGTAATAGCTTAGTATTTTTATTTTCCACAATTTAATGTTTTATATATAAATGCTAGTAAATTAGGATTTGCATGGAAAGACTAAAATCAACAAGTTAGCAAACCCTAATTCAAGACAAAAATAATGCATGTAAATCAACACACTTGCACCTTTAGGGTAATTCCATTTTGTTGCCTTACAAAAATGGTCATGTTATGCATGTGGAATATCTTAGTAAAAAGCAATCAAAAATACAAGATCATAGTCCATTGATGACGCTATCAAATGTTGCCTTTCAAAATGATCTTAGTCCCTCAAAGAGAATTGCTAAGATATTTCACAACGTTGCTATCATGGCTATACGATGACCCACGCCCGTCCCTTTACATCCAGATATAGGACTTCTTACCAAATCAATGGTAAGATAGCAATATCAAAGGAAAGGAAGAAATGAACTAAGACTTTTGAGTAGGTAGATTGTTCCTAGTTGCTTGCTCAAATTCAAATCAAACACTCTTGCTTATTTTCAAAACAAACACCAACACTTTCAAAAACACTTTCAAAGCATCTTCCAAACTTAAAACATTTTCAAAAGCTCAACACTTCGTATACGTTCTTACGAACAAGAACTATTACAAAGTTTGCCTAAATGATGGCACCTTTTCAAAATAATTTCAAAACCCACACAAAGCATATTTTCAAATAAAAGCAAGTGATCTAGCAAGCAACTAAGAGCCTATAGATAACTATGGATAAAATGGGTGTTAATACCTTCCCTTTTCATAATCTACCCCCTGAACTCAAGAAACAATCTCAAAGGTCTTTCCTGTTCTTTTCAGCCTTTCTTTTTAGATAAAAGAAAAGTCGGTGGAGACTATTGCTAACCACAACATTTGTGATAAAATACAAAACATCCCAAGTCAGTTCTCCCACTATATCACAACAGTGGAAGGCATCAGTTTCTCGATAGGATCCTTACCCCCCCCCCCCCCCTAGACCTTACCTAAAAGTAAAGCCTCTGAAGAATCAGTGAAAGAAGCTCTAGAGTCCTCATACACTCCTTACGTTTCAAAATCATCAATCAGAGATATGAACTCTAATTTAAAATCCCCAACAACAGAAGAAAGGTAATTCAATTCATATTTCGAAGAAGAAAAGGTGACACCTTTTGAATCACTCTCTATGTTAATAAGATCATCACTCATTTTAAAAAAGAGACAGTAAATGCTTGAAGAAAAAGCTTGAGTTGGGAGAAGGTACCTTGAGGCGTAAGATCAAAGGTAGTGAAACGAAGGAGAAGGCTGAAGGTTAAAGCTTTTAATCTTTGAACATGTGATGATAGTTACTCCAGAAAAAACGCTCTCAAAGAATAGGGAAAAGGGAAAGACTCAAAGGAAATAAGGGAAATTCAATATAAAAGGTTGCAAAAATTCCCCCAAATTTCCTCTACCCTTATATAGGCAAAGGAAATTGGACGAATCAGATTGGAAGTAAGATGCAAGTGCAAACCAACAGTCAAATTTCATCTTGGAAACACAATCAAAATCAAGTGCACTCAAGTGTACAGTTAGCAGTGTCACGCCACTCTCTATCTTTTTAGGTTATACGTCAATAGAAAAACGAAGAAACGTTTCAATGATGGAACTATATTTAATGTTCGTGTTCCCCATCACGCTTTGGCGAAATCGAAGCAATGCATGCCCATCGACTCATAGACAGCCATTCCTGAACGCTGGCCACGATTGCTCAAAGACTCCCCCACCATACAGAGTGTCAGACGAGTCTTGGGGGAAACTGTTCTGGACCGGCCAAAGGTCTAATAAAATGAGGTCCACTCATCTCATCTTATTTATTGAGCTCAATGTATAAATACAGTTACAAGAGAGTTTTAGGTACACAATATCTGATCTCTAATTTCACTATACTCATCTTAAGTCCTGAATTGACTTGGGTGTTGGAGTGTTAATCATGCAGACACACTCTACACCATCGTAAAGGAGATCGAAGCCACCGTCCGAGATCGTTATTATCAAACTATTTTCATCTCTGATTTCTTTATGGAGTTAGATCATCCATTTTTAATTCCTGAAATTTAAAGAGACATTAATTATTTTTTTTACAACCATTTAAAAAAATTAAACTTATGTTTAGTAGTTACAATATTAAATTATTACCACTAAGTTATCTCAATGATATTGCTAAAACTCTCTTATTTTTATATATTTTACAATATTTTAATAACTAAAAAATTAATTTTTAGAAAAATAAATTAAATTTTGTGGGTTCGAACTCGTTCATCTTTAATTGGATGTTCTTCCAACTAATAATTAAAGTGACTTAACATGACAATCTCTCATATTTAATAATATATTTAAAATACTTTAAACTTAATTTAACTTAAAATTTCAATTAATTACTTTATGGATATAGTGTAATTTAATAAAATATACTCAGTTTTCTATGCACATTGCATAGACTAATTATGTTAATAGTTTTTCTTCATATATATGACTTTGTTAAGTTTTACTTATAATGAGTTAAGAGGAAAATCATATTGTAATTTTGCATATTTAACAATATGATATTATGTTTATTTTCAAAAAACTCATTAAAATATATGTTTGGTATTGTAAAATTGCAAATCATTTCCTCTATTTTTTTACTTGTCATTTTTATAATAAAAAAATTGCATTTCTATTTACCAAATGTTCTTGATATTCATTCAATATTAATAATTTATCAATAATATCTTCAAGTGTTTATTATTAAAACTGATGTAAAATAATATAACAGATAGTAAATTTTAATATTTAATGTCACAATAAAAAAGTAATACTAAATTAAGTTTCTAACATTTTTTCATTCTAGACAAAAAAATTTATGATAATATCTAATAAAACTTATTTTGAATAGAAAATACAATAACGATTTAAATGTTAAGAGTTATTATATTTAAAAAATGCATAGTGGAAGGAAAACGATTGTAAGAACATATTAAAAAATGGGGGGAAATACGTAGACTGCATGAGAAATTTAAATGAAAAAATAACACGTGGGAATGGGAAAAAAGAATACGCCGTCTGTGGGAATCGAACCCACGACCACGTGGTTAAAAGCCACGCGCTCTACCAGCTGAGCTAAGACGGCTACTTGTTAAATTACTTCGATTTTATCTATTGAAAACAAATATAATTTTGCTTACATATGCTAAGCAATCCTAGCATATGAATATTATGTTATGTGAAATCCCTTAAGATGCACCACTATAGGATATAGTTATCTAATGAATGTCTAATCAAGTTCCAAGAGTTTCTCCTTTTGCTCACATCAAGGTGCCCATGGAAGACTGTCAACCTCCAATTACCACCTCTAATATGGATATCACCAACTTCAACAAAACAAACCCATTCCACCATCTGTCCCTCTTGATCCACTGTGAAATAACAATCGGGACTCACACATAACACATCACTATTGTTTTATTTGAAATATCTAATGTCTCATACATAAATATAACATGTGGTTTATATTTTCGAATGAGGCTTATACATAAATTAGAAGTTGCAACCTAAGTCTTGAAAATTCTAGCTGATAATAGTGTTTTCTTCTCTTCCTTGCATACTGGTCTCCTTCTAGGCTAGCTCTCTTCCTCTTCGGAATTTTCTTCTTCTAGGCTAGCACTCTTCCTCTTCGGAATTTTCTTTTTGTCACCAAAACCGAAATCAGAGCCTCTTGCTCATTATGTTGAATTGTCACTGACTGGGTGACTAGTTTAAGGGTGATGTTGCGACATGGCAGACATGCCTTTGATAAGGTGGATCGGACACTCGAAGAGGGGCTCCTACCATGGATGACATGAGGGGTCGATTCCTGTGTACATCTTTATTTTCTACCAATAAAACAAATAACCCTACTCTTTTTTTTAGTGTTCGAATAACCCACTCTATTTTTTTAACAAGGAAATGCTATATTATTAAAGAAAAATATATTTACATCTGGATGCTAAACCTGTCATATGAAAAAGAAAATAACACTAGAGCAAATAAAATATTAAATATAAACAAAAACAATAAAAATTAAAAAGTAAGCACCCCGATCATGGTGTGCTTAGTAATCCATTTTCTGTGATAAATCAAAACCCATTTTTAAAACCAATTAAATAAGAGAACACATTTAAAATTAATTTAAAAAATCAATTCAATACAAAACAATAGATTTGGTATCTAAACCGGATTTGAAACCACTTTGCATTCTCAAAACTAGTTTTTATAAAAACTGGTTCAATTTATCAAGCCAGATTCATAAAGTAGGTCGATTCTTATAATTTGGTTTGCCACATCCAAAATGCCTGTGACAGAAGAAACTACTCCAGTGTTGAAGTAGGTTGAGCAAACAAGTAGTATTTCTTAAAAGGTATTATCGTTGGACACCTCCTTAAAGTTAGTTAAACATTAAGGAAGCAAATATATTTGCATCATCACAGCATATTCCATTGCCCCAATAGATCAAAATTTCTTAGCAACAATAACCCGGATGTCTGAGATTCAATGTTACAAATAATGCAAGTTTAACCCTGTGATTAAATTAAATTTTGAATAACAAACAAATAATGATTCAATCAGAATACATAAAAAGCTGTTTTCAATCTTATTTAGAAATCAAACATTGCTTCTAATTAAGCATCTTCTGACTTCTGGACACCCCTTAGCTAGTCAATCACTCTTATCCTGTTGTGAACCAATGTCTTGAAGGAAATGTTCTGCATCCAAAGCTGCCATACAACCTGCACCAAAAATAAGACCTCAATATCATTCAAGGATAAAAACTCTTCTGAAACATAACCTAACTCAGAACAATGTGGTAATCCCTAATGCATACAATTTTGTCCTCTAACTAATTAATATAAATTCTCTTTTTTTTTTTCATTTCAAAAAACTATGCATAATAAATCAGCTTGAAATTTCCAAGTACACAGTTAAATGTTATGTATGCAACTAATTTATAGACCAAACACTACCATTAAATTCAAAATTCTTAGATAAATTCATGTATGACAAGATAAACTTACAATTCATACAAAGAGAAACAAAAATTCAAAACAAATGGAAAAATTGACAAATCAAAAGGTAAAATACATGGAAGAGTGATGAATGGGATGGGATTCCTTCATTACTCTAATATTAATTTCAACAAAGCTAGGCTTCACCACATCAAAGTAGGTTTCATTAACCACCTCATGCTTTTAAGTTGATTGTAAATTTGTAAGATGGGTCTGCACATGTACGCTGGTTTGAGACTTCATTTATGCAGGAAGATATGGATTGAGACTTAATATAATATTGTTTACCTTCATTGATAGATTAGATTTATGCTGAGCTGTTAGATGCCTTAATGGGGTCACTTTGTACAATTGAGTTAACTCAAAAATTTTAGTAACCATAAATTAATAACTTCATAGATTACTCAAATATCAAAGTTGGATCCTGACAAAAATGAACCAACACAAGAAAGCAGATGATGAACTCACAACTCACAAGAGAGGAACCACAGCCAACTCGCAAGAAACAGAGGAACCACCCCCCAACTTGCAAAACTCAGAAACCATTAAGGCATTAAGGAGGGAAGAGGTTTTGAGAGGCAGAGGAAGGTGTGAGAGAGAGGCTGTGAGAGAAATAAAAGGAAGACTCTTTGCCTCTGAACAGAGAACTTGCGTGAGGAAGAAGGAAAAACATTTAAAATTTATTCTTTATACCGTTTAAAACCTGGGTTTTACCAAAACCCGACCCAGGTCAATTTAAACTAAAGAAATTAAGGTTTTTTACTGCTAAAACGCAGCCCAGATTGGGGGAAATTTCACTGTGATCTAACTGCTTCTCCTCACATCGCCACACGAAAGAATGGTTTTGAAATGTAAGATCGCATGATCCTGAGGGGCAACTTGCTATCTTACATACACCACTCATATCTGACAATGGGTTGAAGTCAGGATTATGTAATTGGAAGTAACCAATCAGGTTTGCAGCTAATTATAAAAGAAATACTATTTTTGAGCTGCAAATGTTAGAACTCAAAACCTTATCTAATTCAAGGACTAACAAACTCCCCGATCAGGAACAGCAAAAAGTTGGGCAAATCAATGGATAGGCTTTGTTAACTCTGAAAGAACCTGCCTATGCTAGATTATAAGAAAAACCATGACATAGTGACAATGAATGAGGTAAAGATTAGTGAACTACAACTATCTCTAACACCTAACATATTTCAGCTACAGGATCTCTCATTTAATAAACGTCTACAACCTAGAATGATATTCAACATAAGGGATTTGAATGAAAGTTTAAACTTCAGTTAGTACAAAAAAAAAATTTTAACATTGATCATTTTTCCATTGGACATCTCCAAATGAAAATAAAATATAAACATGGAGAAAAAAAGCATTAAGACCATTACAATTTTAACACCAGTCATATACACTAATAAATACTCCACCTTAGATGAACCCATAATTATTAAAAAAATGTGTTCATCACATCACAATCTATACAATAGGGAGCACGAAATGAAGGTGAGTTGCAAGCTTGGTTTAACACTGGTGGAATAACAGGCAATCAACCAATCACCAATTCTTCTAAAAGATAAATAGCAATAAGTATTGCACCAGATATAACATATACGCCAAACACAAACAAAATCACAATTGATAGAATATGGCTACTTAAAACAGGAATCACACAAATATGCACTTCTCAAAAATGAATAATTAATCTACAACAATGTAAGAATAATGGTAGAATGCAATAGAATTACCAGTGCCAGCAGCAGTAATAGCTTGTCTATACTTCTTATCCTGAACATCCCCAGCAGCAAAAACTCCCTCAACACTAGTCTTTGTGGTTCCTGGCTTAGTCACAACATATCCATCAAAATCAAGTTCTAGTTGACCATCCAAGAACTTGGTTGCAGGTTCATGACCAATGGCAAAGAACAATCCAGAAACCTTCAAATCAGAAACTTCTTCTGTCACCACATTCTTCACCTTCAAACCCCCCAATCTTTTGGTCTCCCCTTCCCCATAAGCCTCCACCACCGCCGAGTTCCATATCACCTTAATTTTGCTATTGTTCGCCACCTTGCTCTGCATAATCTTCGAAGCCCTAAATGTATCCCTACGATGGATTATGTAAACCTCAGAACCGTATTTGGTTAGAAACGTTGCTTCCTCCATAGCCGAGTCTCCGCCACCAATCACCGCCAACGGCTTGTTTCTAAAGATCGGAGCCGCGCCGTCACACACGGCACAAGCCGAGATCCCTCGGTTCCAGAAACCGTCCGGACCGTCTCCCGAGCCAGTGAACGGTAACCGTTTCGCAACAGCTCCGGTACCGACGATAACCGAATCAGCCTCAACAGATTTTGAGTCAGTAAAAACCCTAAAAGGACGAGATGAGAAATCGACCTTGGTAACTGTCTCCGTGAAGATCTCAGTCCCGAACCGAACAGATTGCTGGCGACACCGTTCCATCAGTTCGCCACCGAGGATACCTTCAGGGAAGCCGGGGAAATTCTCTACGTCGGTGGTGGTGGTGAGTTGACCGCCGGGAGCGATGTCGTTGGCCATCCATCCTTCGAAGAGAACTGGTTTGAGTTCAGCACGGGCCGCGTATACGGCGGCTGTGTGGGCGGAGGGGCCACTTCCGATGATGCAGAGCTTGGTTTTGAGGGTGTTGAGGTCAGCCATGGCGGCGAAAGTGGCGGAAGAAGATATTAGGTTTCGCGCTTTGTTATAGAGATTGCTCCAGTTGTTGTTATAAGCGCAGAATCTGAATTTCATTTCCCTCCTCTATACTCTTCTTCCTATTAAATTTACTTTATTTTCAAGGTAATTTATTTTATTTTTATTTTTATTTCATTTTGTAAAATGCAATTAATATTTCCCTAAGCCAAAAAAATGCAATTAATATTTTCTAATTTGAATTTGAATTGAATGAAAGACTCGAGTTGGAATTTGGAATATGTAATTTGCTTGCTACTATTGGTTGTTCCTAAATTGTCCGTTGCATTTTTGTTCTATTTGTCTTTTTATCTAAGTTGTTGCAATCCTAATTGTTCTTGTATGCAAAGTTAAGAATAGGATAAAATGAGATAACACAACAACATACTATGAATATGTTTTGTATTCAACCTATGCCAAAGTAAAACAAAATGTGATCAAAGATCATAAGGAAATGGCATAATTTGATTCCACCCTATATATTAGGGGACAAAATGGGATCAAAAATAATGAAAGTGGTATACTTTGATTCCATATTAAATTTTAGGGAGGAAATTATTCCACAGTGAAACCATAATTGTTCAGTGAATGATGAAGTATTGTTTGGTTCAATGGATTTGAGATTTCGGTGCCATAGAGAATGAGGTGATCTCTAATGTTCACTCTAACGCTTAAGTTAATAAGAGAATGAAAAATGATGTGAGAATGAAAATATATTTAAATATTTGAGAATGACATGTATTCCCTCTTAAATAATACAAACAGTTTAAAATAGAAAGTGTGGAGTTAGGTGTGGGTCGTGATTAATCATCTAATTAGTTTGGATGATTAGTGATGCTCTTGAAGGCATAATTACCTGCTTCAAAGAGAATAGAGGATTACATGTTCTTCGTGCTTGTTTCCTTTGCTTTACCATTGGACCTTTTGTCTTGGATCTTATAAGCGGCTCAAAATATTTGCCCCTTGTAGTGTTATATTCGTGGATGCTCTAAACCATGGCGTCCTCGACCAAGAGGCGTGTAACACTCCAGACTACTTTCAAGATTACCGACTGACGTCACAAACCAACACGGGTCTTTTCAGCGTACTTTATCCTCACTCACGCGCTTTCTGAGAAACTTCTCAGAAGATCTCTCATCCAAATACTACTCAAAGTCAAGTCTCATTAACTATGAAGTTCTTATTTGTTAGGCTACCAAAAAAAGATGCATCTTATTGGTATGGGTAGTACCAACCAATCCTTATAAGCCTTTCTTCGACCACGAAGTCTCACCCCTGTGCAGCCTCAAGACCCATCTCATTCTGATGTGAATTTGGCGACCATTCTTCGCCCTTTTCGGCCTTGGGTTTTACATCTATTATTTTCCCTCTTCGGCTTCGTGTGTTACACGCCCATAAGCTCCCGCTTAGTTCATCCTCGAACCACTTTGTATTGAAAGAGGTATGCTCTTATACCATTTATAACGCCTCAGACTACTTTCAAGATTATTGACTGACCCCACAAACCAACATGGGTCCCTTCAGCATGTTTTGTTCTCACTCACATGCTTTTTGGAAAACTTCTCATAAGGTCACCCATCCAAATACTACTCTAAGTTAAGCCTCTTTAACTACGGAGTTCTTATTTGTTAGGCTACCGAAAATAAGATGCATCTTGTTGATATGGGTAGTATCAATTAATCCTTATAAGCCTTCTTCAACCATGAAGACTCATCCCTGCATAGCCTCATGATCCTTTTCATTCCGGTGTGAATTCAGTAACTACTTTCCACCCTTTTTGGCCTCGGGTGTCACATCTACTCTTCCCCCTCTTTGGCTTTAGGTGTTATAAGGCGCGTCACTCAGGCAATGACCTAGAGACTTGTCCAGAGAAAACATTGATGTGTGGGTTAAGAAATAATGAGTCCCCATTAAATCCTAAAATATAGGTGATCAATAACTTCTTCAGATGAGAGGAGAGCAGTCGACGCCTCTAAGGGTAATTCAAACTATATATATATATATATATATATATGTGTGTGTGTGTGTGTGTGTGTGTGTATGTGTGTGTGTGTGTGTTCACGGAGAAATAATGTGATGACCTCCCTGAAGCTGGTCAGGAGAAGCTGCAGTATATTTTGAGGTGTTTTATATATGGTATTGCTTGCCTCTTCCTTGCCTTCCACCCTATTCTTATAGTATAAGGCTCGGAGTAGGATGATCTTAGTTGTTATGGTTCTTTATGGTGCTACTCCTATCTCTTTGTTGAGAAGAGGTTATGATAGACGTTTATTCCTATGTTGGGTTGTCCCCTAGATTTATTGGCGAAGCCTCTTTGGTAGTTGTTCTCTTGTGAGAGTGAGAGCTCTTAAGAGGCGAGGCACACTCCCGATCATCTAGGACATAGACCTTAGATGTACATAAGTCCCTCAAGTGCGAGGCCAATTAAGGGAAAATCATTTTAGTCAAATCTAGGACATGGGCCTCTGATGTACATAAGTCCCTCAAGTTCGAGGGTTGTTAAGGGCAAAGCAATTTAGTCTAATCTGGAATGTAGGCCACAGACGTACATAAGCCCCTTAAGCGCGAGGCCTGTTAATAGTGAAGCAATTTAGTCCAGTATTGGGACATGGGCCCTCAGATGTACATACGTCCCTCAAGCGCGAGGCATGTTAAGGGTGAAGAGATTTAGTCGAATTTGGAACATAGGCCTCGGATGCACATAAGTCCCTCAAGCGCGGGGCCTATTAAGGGTGAAACGACTTAGTCAAATCTGGGATGTAGGTCTCAGATATACATAAGTCCCTCAAGCGCGGGGCCTGTTAAGGGCTAAGTGTTTTATTCAAATATGGGTTGTATGCCTCAGATGTACATGAAAGAACAGTGGAGTTATTGGTCGTGAATCATGGCCTCTTAGGAAAGGTATGTCAGGACCTAGTCCTCTGTTTTATCTCTCTGACACGTGCATCATAAAGTGTGGGGATGTTTCTACTCTTATTGTTTACTTGTCACCATTATCATTTTATTGTGGGAAGCATATCAACTTGGTTTTAATGATGATCCTTTTTGGGGAAAGCATGTGTTATCATTAAGTCCTGCTTACGATGGACTATTCATGTAACTGTAGCTTTTGAATGTTTCTTAAATAAGTTGTCTCTTCATCTATTAGGGTTTTCCAAGTTTTTTGTTTCTAAGTTGTTACTACTACTATATTGCTACTCCAAGCTTGCTTATTTTCTCAGGTAACATTCTTCATACCATATGTTTTTGTTCTCTTTTTCTTGATTAGTTTTTACAATGGTTGTTATCCGTGAGTGTGATGCTTCGGGTAGAGTGTAACACCTCGATTTAATTAGAATTATTTTTAATTAAATAATTAGATAATGTGATATGATATTTTGTTGGGGACTAGATACCTTAGAATTATGAGAGTTGAGGTTTTATGGGTGTATGGCTAAATGTGTAGAGACATGAGGGTGTGTAGTATGATATGGATTTTTATTACTATTATATTATAATATTAGGATTATTATTATGTTATAATAATAATTAAATGATTACTTAATTGGGATAGTTGTTTTAATATTGGGATATATTAGAGTGAGAAGAAGAGAAAGAGAGTCAGTACGTAGAAACAGAGAAAGAGAAGTGTAGAAGTGAGAAGAGGAGAAAGCACTAGGAAGTTAGGGCGGGAAAGTTCATCAATAGGAATCAAGAATCATCACCAATATAAGGTAAGGGGGATTCTAACTCTATAAGGGTTTTCCTATTGATGGGTATGGTGGTGTTTAGGTTCCATGGTTGTATGCTTTTGATTTCTCCCTATTTGGTTGTTTTGGGGTTTTACCCTTTGATGATTGATTTTGATCCATTATGTGTACCATTGATGTTTGATATGTATGGTAATTGATGTATGATTATAAGAGATGATAATCTGGGGTTTGATTGTGCATTATCTCATGAAGTTCGTGTTTTTAGAATTGAGCCAAAATGGTTTTCGCACTGCTATTTTTTTGAATCCGTAAAACTGTTTTTCACATGGTGCAATCGATTTGCAGTGCAGGTGCAATCGATTACACAGTTTAATTTTGGTGAATTTTTCTTCTGTTTCAGTAAGTAATCAGTTTGTAATACAGAGTAATCGATTTTTCACTTCTTTAAAACGTGATTTTTGGCCTTTGGAACAAGGTGAAATCGACTTGCATATTAGTGCAATCGATTGCTCACTGTTTGACAGCATTTTTTAAAACTTGAAAACTCCATAACTTTTGACTCAGGTGTCTCTTTGAAGCGTCGTTTGGATCGTTAGAAAGCTAAAAATAGTTTTCTACAATGTGGTAATAATTTTGATGACAGTAGACTAATATTTTATTGTAAGAATTCTGATGTGTGTGTATGTTGTATGTGTTGTAATGCAAAATGTTGCGATTGAATGTATCAGTGTTGTATAAACGATGTACAAAGGATTTTGCATGATGTATTACATGATAATGATAATTATGATGATGATGGCCTGTATTGGCGAGACATTAATAAGTATGAACAATCAATGTAAATTAAGTTGTTGCATGTCAGTGTCGCCTGCACTCATTAAAGATGGCCTGTATTGGCGAAAGATGGCATGTGTTGGCGAAAGATGGATTGTATTTGCATTGTTTCCCCAAGTTTCCATTTATTAATTTGAGGGTTTTTTCCTATTGGTACCACATGCATAGAGTTAGTATCATCATCATTGCATTACACTATTATTAGTAATCGATGGTTTGATTATTAAACGGATTTCTGATTTCATTACGATGGATGTTTGTGTTATTTGTTGCACATAATTATATTTATGTGTTTCAAAGTATGATGAACGATAAAAACGTGTGAGATAAAGATGTATAATGATGTGTACTTGAATTACTATCTGTTCATTATTATGCTTCCTCTTATATTGTTATGATATCTCACCCTTTTTGTTGGAATGTTGCCTCTACGCGGGTAACATGCAGATGATCCGAAGTAGCTCGAGGTCGTGGTTAGCTGAAAAGTTCCTTCAGTTCTGTGTAGATTTAGTCGGTGTCTGCTCTGATACGTAA